GGAGATGTTGCCACCGGGATTTGGTGACAGGAGGATGGAACGACAGGAGATGGGTGACAGCAGGAGATGGTGACAAGCAGAAGGATGTTACAACACCTGTTACTTACCACCAGGAGATGGTGACACCAGGAATATGGTGATGACAGGAGATGGTGGCAGCAGGAGATGGTGACAGCACTGTCAGAGACAGCAGGAGATGGTGACAGCAGGATATGGTGACGACAGGAGATGGTGGCAGCAGGAGATGGTGACAGCAGGAGATGGTGACAGCACTGTCAGAGACAGCAGGAGATGGTGACAGCAGAAGGTGACAGGAGACGGTGACAGCAGGAGATGGAGGCAGCAGGAGATGGTGACAGCACTGTCAAAGACAGGAGACGGTGGCAGCAGGAGATGGTGGCAGCAGGAGACGGTGACAGGAAACGGTGGCAGCAGGAGACGGAGGCAGCACTGTCGGCGACAGCAGCTCACAGCCCTACCCGCTGTCATCCAAACTGAGGAACACTGCACACTCGGGTGACTGATAGCTCCAGCGCACTGGAATCCAGAGCTGCTCACACGCTTACGTAGAGCCATGGCCACTGCCACTCAAGTGGGACAATCTCCCACTTCCCCGCGACAGAACCATGGCTCTCCATGTCAGCCGTGTCCCTTCAGTCATCACAGACCCCCAGGCACCTTCCTAACGCCCGAGATCTCAGCTCTGCGCTCGCTGCCGGGCCTTCCTCCAGCACTGCTCCTGACACAGGCCTGGAGACTGCAGCATGCACACAAACGGCATTCTCAGGCCTTCACACGTCTCCGCAGCTCTTGTCCTCCACCGGGAGTCCCTTGACCTCATCACTGTCATTGCCTGCACCCGTCACTGTGTTCTCTCAGCTTCCAGCTCACCGTCCCCACAGTCTCACAGCTCACTGGCCTTAGAACCCCAACTCAAACATCCACTCCCACCAGCAGAGCCGACATCCAGATCCCACACCTTCTCATGACCAAGCCTCCCCAAACCAGCTTTTCCCTCTCTGCCCTTTAGGTTCCACGGCTCATTATCATGATCTTTTCCTTGTGTGCACCTTCAACTCCCTTAGTCTTCTCTTACATCACCCAATTAACCTCACACAACACCAATCCCAGTTAAACCCAGCCCACTCCACTCTTCACTCACCTGCATCCACACAGCTGCAAGTAGCCGGGCAGGCAGCCCTTCCGGTGGTCTCACTGGACAACCATGACCACGCATCCTAATAGGCTAACTGGGCTCACAACACTGCCCTGGGATGATCCAGTCACTCACCTCCTACTCTCCTCTCCAGCTCCGTCCCAGACACTCCCAGTGCTGGCTCAAGCCCTTGATTCCTAACTCCACGCGTCCACGTCCTCGTCTTCCTGTGTGTGCCCCTACCTAGCACGGATCCCTGACTTGTGTAACACAGCCTGTCCCTCTAGTCTACACACACTTGATGGCCCCGCCATTCTCCCCACTCTCTCCTGCATCATTCTCTGCTCATCTTCATAGCAACCCTCCTTGGAAGAGCCTTTGTATCCACCTGCTCCAATTCCTAGCTTTCCTTTCATTCTCTCCTAAGCCCCTTCAGATTACACTTTCACTCCTCACCAAAGTCACCAACAAGCTCCCTGTTCTTACATCCATGCCAGTTCTGCTACTGTCTGCTACTACCCTAACCCTAACCCTAACCCTAACCCTGACCCTAACCCTAACCCTGACCCTTTGGGGCATGGTTACTCATAGCCCTCTGGCCTTGGCTCCTAGCACAGCCTGTTCTTGGCGCTATCAGCCTACAACTCCACCTCATCCCCTTCGCTCTTCTTTGCAGGCTCCTCTTAGCAGCTCAGGCATCAGGACGCACGCCCCTTCTCTCACCAGCCTGTACTCCTTCCTACGGTAACATCACTGAGAGCAGCCACTTTAACTGCTACCCCCATGGAACTGGACTCTCCAAGTGCTGTTGCCAGCCTGGGGTCCCACCCTGAGCCCCACACTCACGTCCAGACAATGGGACAGCCAATGGCATCTGCTGCTCAGCAGATCCAAGACAGCACCCGTCCTGTTCCCCTGAGCCTGCTCCTGGGTCAGCCTTCTCCATTTACCAAACAGCAACTCCCTTCTTCTAGTAGTTCACGCCAGAAACATTACAATCTGTCCTGTCATTTTTTTTTTTTTATTTTTGACAGGCAGAGTGGATAGTGAGAGAGACAGAGAGAAAGGTCTTCCTTTGCCGTTGGTTCACCCTCCAATGGCCGCCGCGGCCGGCGCGCTGCGGCCGGCGCACCGCGCTGATCCGATGGCAGGAGCCAGGAGCCAGGTGCTTTTCCTGGTCTCCCATGAGGTGCAGGGCCCAAGCACCTGGGCCATCCTCCACTGCACTCCCTGGCCACAGCAGAGGGCTGGCCTGGAAGAGGGGCAACCGGGACAGAATCTGGCGCCCCGACCGGGACTAGAACCCGGTGTGCCGGCGCCGCTAGGCGGAGGATTAGCCTAGTGAGCCGCGGCGCCGGCCTGTCCTGTCATTTTGCTTTCTCTCAAAACTCATGCCAAATCCTATGGGCTCTGTCTTAAAATAGACCCCAAACCCAACCACTTCTTGCTGCCTCCATTATAACCACTTCTTGCTAGGATTACTGGAATAGCCACTCAGGGGACTGCTCTGCCACGGTGTACGGGAGTTGCTAGCAGCCTGGTCTCCCTGCTGCCCCAGCCCCCTGCACTGTACAGCCTGCCCCTGTTGGCATCACTTGGCCACAGAACCCCCCTGGCTGCTTCCTCACCAACTGCACTTTATTCAAATGGTGGCCTATCTTTTAGCCCTTTCTAGAGACTAGCAATTAAAAAGACCACGGCACATCCACAGACTGTAACCCCACAAAGTGATTTTTTGTTTATAAAACAAACAAACAAAAAAGATAGAATATCCTTTAAGTATCAATGTGGAAAAAATCACCAGGAAATGTTGTGAAGTGAAAAAAAAAAAATCCAGTGTATGTTAAAGGACATGACCTGTGTGTAAGAAGGCAGGGAATACAAGACTCTTCGTATGTGCTTGGCGCTCAATCCAGGACACGGCAAGGATTCTACAAAGTGACTGAAGAGCCAGGCATCAGGCCAGCAGCTGAAGAAACCCACATTCCCCAGCAGAGTGCCTGGGTTCAGTCGCAGCTGCTTCTTCACCCCAGCCCCCTGCTGGTGCCCAATCTGAGGCAGCGGGCGCCGGCCCAAGCTGGGTCCCTGCCAGCCGCATGGGAGACCCAGACTGAGTTCCTGGTTCCTCGCTTCAGCCTGGCCCAGCCCCGGCCACTGCAGGCATTAGGGGAGTGAGTCGGCACATGGAAGATCTCTCTCTCTCTCTCTCTCTCTCATTCTGTGTGTGTGTGTGTGTGTGTGACTGTCTTTCAAATATAAATAAATAAGTAAATACAAAAATCAATACATGTTTAAGAGAAATCAAACTGGTTACGCGTAAGGACTGAGGGGTGGTGTGGACAGATAAGATGATGGTGCAGTATCTCAATGATATTTCACGCTGTTTTGACTTCTGAATCGTGTGTGTATCAGCTACTCGAAATCAGAGTGCTAAACCTTGAGGTGAAACACCCAAGTCCTCTGTCTGCTCCATTTTCCCCTCCCCTCCTTTATTTCTCCCCATAGCCCTGATTGCCATAAAATACCACATGTTCCACTCAGTCACTGTTGTCAGTCTTCCCACATCAACATTCGAGTTCCAGGGAGGTGGAATTTTCTGCTTTGTGTACCCACTGCTCCTCAACAGCGTGGACACTCTGACTATTAAGTGAATCAGCTTAGCGGGTGTTCAGGCCTGTCCTCATCCCTGCTCCTCCTAACACACTTGTGGGCTTCCTGTGAATCATCCTCTGTGAACATCCACTCACCACCCCCATTTACGAGGGCGACTCCCGTCCCCAGTAAAGGCACTCACAGACCACGGCAAGAAAGCACACACCATATAGAGGAGAAAATTAGATCTCAAGACTCAAGAGACGGGGCTGGTGTTGGGTTAAGCCACTGTCCACAGCACCAGCATCCCATATGGGACCACTGAGTTCGAGTCCTGGCCATTCCACTTCTGACCCAACTCCCGGCCGATGGCCTGGGAAAGCAGCGGAAGATGGCCCGACTGCTTGGGCCCCCTATCCACATGCGAGACCCAGATGAAGCTCCTGCCTTCAGACAAGCCCAGTCCTGGCTGTCGCAGCCATCTGGGGAGTGAATCAGTGGATGAAATATCTCTGTCTCTCCCTCTCTCCATGTAACTCTTTTTTCTTTTAAAGATTCATTTTTTTTGTGTTTGAAAGAGTTACAGAGAGAGGTAGAGACAGAGAGAGAGAGAAAGGTCTTCCATCTGCTGGTTCACTCCCCAAATGGCCACAATAGTCAGAGCTGAGCCAATCTGAAGCCAGAAGCGTCTTCTGAGTCTCCCATGTGGGTGCACAGGCCCAAGCACTTGGGCCATCTTCCACTGCTTTCCCAGGCACATAAGCAGGGAGCTGGATCAGAAGTGGAGAAACCAGGACTTGAACTACTGCCATAGTAGCGGGAAAGGGGGAAGTTGCCAGTGTTCCAGGCCAGGGCTTCAACCCACTGCACCACAGCGCTGGCCCCCCATGTAGTTCTTTCAAATAAATAAATGAATGTTAAAAACAAGGAAAGACTCATGGGATGCGCCAGTGTGGACTAACAAGGAAACACAATGACGGCTTTCGGACTTTGACAGCATAAAGTGAGATGGATTTTTGAGACCTAATATTTAAGAGTAAAGTCAAAAAAATCTTTTTTCAAAACTACAAATGAGACTGTCACCCAGGTCACTAATGCCACAAAGACAAACCTGTTGAGAAAAATACTGCTGACATCATCGTGGCTGATGGGGGGCCTCTTGGAGCTGGCCGCCATGCGCAGGGGCCGGAGGAAGCCGTTGACCAGGACATGCAGCTGATGGACGTACTCGGACTCCGCCTCCACCATGGCAAACACGATCTGGTTCCGCTTGCGCATGCTCTCGGCGTGCGGGGAGCAGATGTAATCCTGCACGATGGTCTTCCACTTCCTGCGACACAGCCACCCTCGCATGAAGCTCTGCACCTGCACGACGAGAACAAACAGACCCTCGGGGTGGGTGCCGGCCTGCAGGAGCCCGTGGTCCAGGCATGGCCTCCTGCACTGTAGAACACGCTGCTCTTGCCTGGGGTGAACTGCACCGTGACCAAAGTATCGGTGGGCTGGGGCAGCACTGTGGTGCAGTGGGCTAAGCCTCCGCCTGCAGTGCCAGTGTCCCATATGGGCACTGGTTCATGTCCTGGCGGCTCCTCTTCGGATCCAGCTCTGTGCTAATGGTCTGGAAAGCAGCAGAGGACGGACTAAGTGCTTGGGTTGCTGCACCCACTTGGGAGACCTGGAAGAAGCTCCTGGCTTCTGATTGACCCAGTGTCAGCCTTTCTGGCCCCTCAGGGCGTGAACCAGCAGAAGGAAGACCTCTCTCTCTCTTGTCTCTCCCTCTCTCTGTAACTCTGCCTCTCAAATAAATAAATCAATCCTAAGAAAAGAAAAAGGAGAGCAGGTGTTTCCCAAAGAGCAGAAAAAAGGGATGATTTAGGAGATGTTTACCCCGTCTGTATGGATTCCACACCTAGCACCACACACCTGAACTTAGTTACTAGCATTTCAAGAGGGGAATACATTGAAGGTACAGAGAGCCATATGCTTTTATAACTGTCTTCAATTCTGGTCAAAAGATAAAACTTTTAATCACAGTGATGCTGAAGTGTGCAGTTCAGTCACAGCAGACCTTCAGGACGCATTCAGACTGAGAAACTGGGACCCCTACTCCTGAGCCAGTCCCATCACTCCCCCGCCCCCAGCCTCCACAAACACCACGGTCCCTCCCCGTCTGTGAATCTGACTACTGCAGAGACATGAGGTCACAGAAAACGCTCATTATGAAAATCCGATGGTTCCAAGAAGGCAGAACAGCGACAGGGTGGCCTGACCTACGACAGGCAAAATCAGTACACGAAGAAGAGAAAGTACACTCTCAGGGTAAAGCCGCAGGGAGGCCACAGTGGGGGTCCTGCAACGGCAGAGGAAACAGCCGGGCCTCTGTGGAAGGTGCAGACACGCAGCAAAGAGCAAGCACACAACGAAGGGCCCTGCAGCTTGGATCCAGAGAAACCGGCTGCTCTGGCAAGCAAGGTGAGAGGACAGGTGGTGACCACACTGATGATACACTGGGGACAGCCTGGTGACCACGCTGCTGACACCCTGGGGACAGCCTGGTGACCACACTGCTGCTACCCTGGGAACAGCCTGGTGACCACACTGCTGCTACCCTGGGGACAGCCTGGTGACCACACTGCTGATACCCTGGGGACAGCCTGGTGGACTACACTGCTGATACTCTGGGGACAGCCTGGTGACCACACTGCTGCTACCCTGGGGACAGCCTGGTGACCACACTGCTGGTACACTGGGGATAGCCTGGTGACCACACTGCTGCTACCCTGGGGACAGTCTGGTGACCACACTGCTGATACCCTGGGGACAGCCTGGTGACCACACTGCTGATACCCTGGGGACAGCCTGGTGACCACACTGCTGCTACCCTGGGGACAGCCTGGTGACCACACTGCTGCTACCCTGGGGACAGCCTGGTGACCACACTGCTGCTACCCTGGGGACAGTCTGGTGACCACACTGCTGATATACCCTGGGGACAGCCTGGTGACCATACTGCTAATACCCTGGGGACAGCCTGGTGACCACACTGCTGGTACCCTGGGGACAGCCTGGTGACCACACTGCTGGTACCCTGGGGACAGCCTGGTGGACTACACTGCTGATAACCTGGGGACAGCCTGGTAACCACACTGCTGCTACCCTGGGGACAGCC